GCAATTTGAACTGCCACTAACAGATATATTGATTCAATAAAATAATTTGAAATTAAGCTGAAGTTGATACAAGTTATGAAACTTATTTTCTAGTAAAATTAGGCACAAGTAGAAAAAACAACAAAAACAATGCCCCTAACCCCCCTCAAAAAAAAACTCACAAAGACAGAATCTTATTTCAGTTGAAAAGCTTGAAAAACAACACCCTTGATTTCATAACGACCAATCGTTTCCAGTATGATGGTTAACGATCGTTAATGGGATTAAAGCGGTATCCCAGGTAGGTGCATGTATACACAATAAATTCCAACAACAGTATTTATAGGTAAATTTAGAGCAAGAATTGGCTAAAGGTCAACCATTTCTTTTTTTTTCTTTTTTTTTTTTAAATATTTTTTGTTCCAGGCGACAGTTCTGGACATTCAGTGTCACTGTTGTCTCTCCTGACTTTTTTTTTTGCAAGTGCTAGTGAAGACACATAGTGCATTTTGCCACAGAGGTCATATTCATGTTTGGGACTACATGACAGGGCTGTGTGGCCATCTCTCTGTCAAATGGCAGTTTGTAATGCGCTATCCTGGCGTCAACCAGGCTCGGTCGAACACGAGCACCTGCGGACCTTAACCAAGGTTCCCCCAAAGTCGCATTCGTTAGTGAATGAATCTTGGCCAGTGGAATTGGCCTTCCCATTGAGTCTGTGGTACACTCACCCAGGGTAGGGGTCGACCATTTTGATGTTCAGCCTAAGGTAGGATTTGAACTTGGGTCTAGCGATCATGAGTCTGATGCGACAACGACTATGCTACCAGTGACTGGTCAACCATTTCACTACTGTAAAATCTTTTATTTTTGCTTGGAATTTGTTTCCATTTTTTTGCTGAAGATATGATTCAGTGAAAATAAAATCCAGCGAATATTGCTATTTTATGTATTTTACATTCAGTAAAAATAAATTTTAAAACCCAAAAATTCCTTTCAGTAAAAAAAAACTCTAGCTAAAATAAAATATTTTACATTATATTATATGTATAAAGTACATACACACAAGTTTAATTTATTAATATCGTACTACCAGTACATATTTCTATAAAGCAGATAAGAATCGCTCAAAATTCTTCCCAATACTCTCATTGCTATATATAGCTAATTATGTAATTAGTTTACAAACTTAATTAACATATAAACAACTCATAATATTGAATACTGTAGAGTAATTTATTTTAGTTATAATCTTTTCTCTATTCAGATTGCTAATATATTTGCTCTATTAGTAGTGTATAGGCTTATGTGAGCTGTGTCTGTGGTCAAAATAAGTAATATTTAAAGCAGAAGGGGTGTCACCTGCACACACACGGGAATCGAGTCCCAAGCGATGATAATAACACACACTAAAAATGCAAAGGCTCATGGGTAGACGTTTGTTTGTAAACAATGACACGATATGGCCATCTGATGCATACGCAGGTGATGAATCTCCTGCTTTAAATAACCCAGTATACAATTTAATAGTTTACATTAGCTTCTACTAAAGATGTGGTCTAATAAAGGGAATACAGTTGGATTGATACACTTATTTTCACTGGTTTGAATTGCTTGAAAACATATGCAAAGTACTGTAAAATGACTAATTTTCACTGATTTGCCATTTCAGGCATATTCTTTGGGTTTTAAATTCACGGTTTTATCATTTAGATAATGTGTTCTATGCTAAATTTTACATATTCACTGGGTTTTAATTTAGCGCATTTTCTAGTCAGCGAAATAAGCCAAATTAAAACCCAGTGAATAATTAACTCCTTTACAGTATTTCAGCGAAAAAATAGCCATAATAAAGTGCAAGATTAAGGTAATTAGAAGTTTCTAAACTTGTAGAGTATGTCTACATCACGGTTACTAAAACCATGTCTACATATACAATAAAAGAATACTGCACATACAAACATTTTCACTTAAAAGACATCACACTCTATGTCTCAGAGACTTCTGTTAAATATTCACAGCTATAATATTTCACGATTCATGAAAATTCATCTTGCTAAAAAAAAGTATTTTTAAACAATATTCAACTTATTTAGTTTATG